TCTTTTGGGCGACATTTGAGTCGACTCACACAAACACTCATCCTTTGGGCGACATTTGAGTCGACTCACACGAACACTCATCCTTTGGGCGACATTTGAGTCTACTCACACAAACACTTATCCTTTGGGCGACATTTGAGTCGACTCACATAAGCTCTCATCCTTTGGGTGACATTGAGTCGACTCACAAAACAATAGTCCTTTGGGCGACATTTGAGTCGACTCACACAAACACTCATCATTTAGGCGACATTTGAGTCGACTCACACAAACACTCATCTTTTGGGCGACATTTGAGTCGACTCACACAAACACTCATCTTTTAGGCGACATTTGAGTCGACTCACACAAACACTCATCTTTTGGGCGACATTTGAGTCGACTCACACAAACACTCATCCTTTGGGCGACATTTGAGTCGACTCACACAAACACTCATCCTTTGGGCGACATTTGAGTCGACTCACACAAACACTCATCTTTTAGGCGACATTTGAGTCGACTCACACAAACACTCATCCTTTGGGCGACATTTGAGTCGACTCACACAAACACTCATCCTTTGGGCGACATTTGAGTCGACTCACACAAACACTCATCTTTTGGGCGACATTTGAGTCGACTCACACAAACACTCATCTTTTAGGCGACATTTGAGTCGACTCACACAAACACTCATCTTTTGGGCGACATTTGAGTCGACTCACACAAACACTCATCCTTTGGGTGACATTTGAGTCGACTCACACCAACACCATCCTTGGGCGACATTTGAGTCGACTTACACAAACACTCATCCTTTGGGCGACATTTGAGTCGACTCACACAAACACTCATCTTTTGGGCGACATTTGAGTCGACTCACACAAACACTCATCCTTTGGGCGACATTTGAGTCGACTCATACAAACACTCATCCTTTGGGCGACATTTGAGTCGACTCACACGAACACTCATCCTTTGGGCGACATTTGAGTCTACTCACACAAACACTCATCCTTTGGGCGACATTTGAGTCGACTCACAAAAACACTCATCCTTTGGGCGACATTTGAGTCTACTCACACAAACACTCATCCTTTGGGCGACATGTGAGTCGACTCACACAAACACTCATCATTTAGGCGACATTTGAGTCGACTCACACAAACACTCATCTTTTGGGTGACACTGAGTCGACTCACACAAACACTCATCCTTTGGGCGACATTTGAGTCGACTCACGCAAACACTCATCCTTTGGGCGAAATTTTAGTCGACTCACACAAACACTCATCCTTTGGGCGACATCTGAGTCGACTCACACAAACACTCATCTTTTGGTCATTCGAGTCGACTCACACAACACTCATCCTTGGGCGACATTTGAGTCGACTCACACAAACACTCATCCTTTGGGCGACATTTGAGTCGACTCACACAAGCACTCATCCTTTGGGCGACATTTGAGTCGACTCACACAAACACTCATCCTTTGGGCGACATTTGAGTCGACTCACACGAACACTCATCCTTTGGGCGACATTTGAGTCGACTCACACAAACACTCATCCTTTGGGCGACATTTGAGTCGACTCACACAAACACTCATCCTTTGGGCGACATTTGAGTCGACTCACACAAACACTCATCCTTTGGGCGACATGTGAGTCGACTCACACAAACACTCATCATTTAGGCGACATTTGAGTCGACTCACACAAACACTCATCTTTTGGGTGACACTGAGTCGACTCACACAAACACTCATCCTTTGGGCGACATTTGAGTCGACTCACGCAAACACTCATCCTTTGGGCGAAATTTTAGTCGACTCACACAAACACTCATCCTTTGGGCGACATCTGAGTCGACTCACACAAACACTCATCTTTGGTCATTCGAGTCGACTCACACAAACACTCATCCTTTGGGCGACATTTGAGTCGACTCATACAAACACTCATCCTTTGGGCGACATTTGAGTCGACTCACACAAGCACTCATCCTTTGGGCGACATTTGAGTCGACTCACACAAACACTCATCCTTTGGGCGACATTTGAGTCGACTCACACGAACACTCATCCTTTGGGCGACATTTGAGTCGACTCACACGAACACTCATCCTTTGGGCGACATTTGAGTCGACTCACACAAACACTCATCCTTTGGGCGACATTTGAGTCGACTCACACAAACACTCATCCTTTGGGCGACATTTGAGTCGACTCACACAAACACTCATCCTTTGGGCGACATTTGAGTCAACTCACACAAACACTCATCCTTTGGGCGACATTTGAGTCGACTCACACGAACACTCATCCTTTGGGCGACATTTGAGTCGACTCACACAAACACTCATCCTTTGGGCGACATGTGAGTCGACTCACACAAACACTCATCCTTTGGGCGACATTTGAGTCGACTCACACAAACAGTCATCCTTTGGGTGACATTTGAGTCGACTCACACAAACAGTCATCCTTTGGGCGACATTTGAGTCGTCTCAGACAACAAACTCATTCTTTGGGCGACATTTGAGTCGAGACACACAAACACTCATCCTTTGGGCGACATTTGAGTCGACTCACACAAACACTCATCTTTTGGGCGACATTTGAGTCGACTCACACAAACACTCATCTTTTGGGCGACATTTGAGTCGACTCACAAAAACACTCATCCTTTGGGCGACATTTGAGTCGACTCAGAAAAACACTCATCCTTTGGGCGACATTTGAGTCGACTCACACGAACACTCATCCTTTGGGCGACATTTGAGTCGACTCACACAAACACTCATCATTTGGGCGACATTTGAGTCGACTCACACAAACACTCATCCTTTGGGCGACATTTGAGTCGACTCACACAAACACTCATCCTTTGGGCGACATTTGAGTCGACTCACACAAACACTCATCTTTTGGGCGACATTTGAGTCGACTCACAAAAACACTCATCTTTTAGGCGACATTTGAGTCGACTCACACAAACACTCATCCTTTGGGCGACATTTGAGTCGACTCACACAAACACTCATCTTTTAGGCGACATTTGAGTCGACTCACACAAACACTCATCTTTTGGGCGACATTTGAGTCGACTCACACAAACACTCATCCTTTGGGCAACATTAAAGTCGACTCACACAAACACTAATCCTTTGGGCGACATTTGAGTCTACTCACACAAACACTCATCCTTTCGGCGACATTTGAGTCGACTCACACAAACACTCATCTTTTAGGCGACATTTGAGTCGACTCACACAAACACTCATCTTTTGGGCGACATTTGAGTCGACTCACACAAACACTCATCCTTTGGGCGACATTTGAGTCGACTCACACAAACACTCATCCTTTGGACGACATTTGAGTCGACTTACACAAACACTCATCCTTTGGGCGACATTTGAGTCGACTCACACAAACACTCATCTTTTGGGCGACATTTGAGTCGACTCAGGGGCGACATTTAAGTCGACTCATACAAACATGTCAGAATCCCAGCCACTAACCACTGGGATAAAAGGGCTTGTTTGTGTAGCGGGTGAGTGCGCCCATAACCCCCCAGGCCGCCGTGCCTGTAACCCTTCCCTAGGATCAATCGGGGATCACCAGTGGACCTCTGACACCCCCCCCGCACTGGGATGCCCGAGGTGCACACACCGGGATTCGAACCCGAGATCTTCGCTCTGATACCATGTCAGAATCCCAGTCACTAACCACTGGGATAAAAGGGCTTGTTTGTGTAGCGGGTGAGTGCGCCCATAACCCCCCAGGCCGCCGTGCCTGTAACCCTTCCCTAGGATCATCGGGGATCCCCAGTGGACCTCTGACAGGGAAACGTAGTGAGGGGGAAGGGAGTGAGGGGAAACAAAGTGAGGGGGACAGGGATGAGGAGGGATGGAAGTGAGGGGAAATTGAGTGAGGGGAAATACAAGTGAGGGGAAATGAAGTGAGGGGAAGTTGAGTGAGGGGAAATACAAGTGAGGGGAAATGAAGTGAGGGGGAAGAGAGTGAGGGGGGATGGAAGTGAGGGGAAATGAAGTGAGGGGGGATTTCCTCTCACTCCATTCCCCCTCACTCACAGAAGTGGGGGGAAAACGAGTGAGGGGAAATATAAGTGAGGGGAAATGTAGTGAGGGGGAAGGGAGTGAGGGGGAATGGAAGTGAGGGGAAACAAAGTGAGGGGGACAGGGATGAGGAGGGATAAAAGTGAGGGGAAATTTAGTGAGGGGGAATACAAGTGAGGGGGATGGAAGTGAGGGGAAATTGAGTGAGGGGAAATACAAGTGAGGGGAAATGAAGTGAGGGGGAAGAGAGTGAGGGGGGATGGAAGTGAGGGGAAAGAAACGAAGTGAGGGGGGATTTCCTCTCACTCCATTCCCCCTCACTCACAGAAGTGGGGGGAAAACGAGTGAGGGGAAATGTAGTGAGGGGGAAGGGAGTGAGGGGGAATGGAAGTGAGGGGAAACAAAGTGAGGGGGACAGGGATGAGGAGGGATGGAAGTGAGGGGAAATTGAGTGAGGGGAAATACAAGTGAGGGGAAATGGATGGAAGTGAGGAGAAATTGAGTGAGGGGAAATACAAGTGAGGGGAAATGAAGTGAGGGGGAAGAGAGTGAGGGGGGATAGAAGTGAGGAGAAATGAAGTGAGGGGGGATTTCCTCTCACTCCATTCCCCCTCACTCACAAAAATGGGGGGAAAACGAGTGAGGGGAGATATAGGTGAGGGGAAATGTAGTGAGGGGGAAGGGAGTGAGGGGGAATGGAAGTGAGGGGAAACAAAGTGAGGGGGACAGGGATGAGGAGGGACGGAAGTAAGGGGAAATTGAGTGAGGGGGGATACAAGTGAGGGGGGATGGAAGTGAGGGGAAATTGAGTGAGGGGAAATACAAGTGAGGGGAAATGAAGTGAAGGGGAAGAGAGTGAGGGGGGATGGAAGTGAGGGGAAATGAAGTGAGGGGGGATTTCCTCTCACTCCATTCCCCCTCACTCACAGAAGTTGTCAGAAATAACGGTCCCAAACATCAACACCCCTCTTTTCCAGATCAGCCCAGCGCGGCAGCTCAGTGGCAGCAGGAAACTGAGTGCGCCACGCGTCGTTAAGGCGCGCGAAGCAGCGCTGCGTGGGGTGCGGCCTCCCACACTGCTGGCCGCTGCGGTCACCTGTGCGAATGACGTACGTGCAGGTAACGCTACGCTGCGCATACCACTCACGGGCGGCCTGAAGCGTCGGGGTGGGCTGCTGACTCTGCCCTCCGCCAGTGCCTCCACGACCACCACCCCCACCGCCGCCGCCCCGGCCACCTCCACCCCTGCCGCCGCCACGACCACCTCCGCCTCCGCTGCCGCCTCCACCACCACTCCCACCGCTGCTGTCTCCTCCCCCACTGCCGCCACTAGTCTCCCCAGCCGCGCCTCCACTCCCACCGCCTCCACCCCCACCTCCTCCGCCGCCACCCCCACCCCTGCCCCCCTTGTTCCTGCGGCGCCCGCTCGAAGCAGACGCGGTCCCGACCTTCTCAGCACCAAGAAGGTCGACAGCAGCAGCAGAGGCGACAGAGGGGAGGAGGGGGGAAGGGGAACACCCCTCAAAGAACGGGGTGCGGGGGTCGCCACGAGAGGTGCCTACAGCGACGATGCTCGCCTCAGCTGCAAGCAGTTCCTTCTCGAGGAGGGCAACAGTGAGCTCAGTGGGGGAGCGAGAGAGGAAGTGATCCCTGACTGCGCGCAGAGAGTCAGGGAGGCGGGTGACGATGTGGTAGAGAGTGATCCAGAGCGGGGGGGGTTGCTAGTGAGAAACTCGGCAGGCATAGCAGCGCGAAAGCGGGCCTCACTAGTCTTAAGGTGGGTGATGAGGTCTGCGACAGTGTGAAAGGAGGCTAGGTCGGGGAACAGGTAGGGGAGAGTGAGGCGGCCTAGCGTGGCAGAAGCGGGCGAGGAGTAGCGGGCAACTACAGCGGTGTAGAGGTCCTTAGCAGTCTTGCACTGGCCGAAGTGCTCGCGCTCGTCTAGCGGCAGGGAGTTGCAAATAGCAAAGCGAGCGTGCGCATCACGGGTCTGCCACTGGGAACGCAGAGTGCTGTCAGCAGACGAGTCAGGGGCAGTGGCATGGCCTAGGGCATGGTCGTACAGTGAGATATCTTCCTTGGCAGTGAGCTGTAGGAACAGGTGCAGGTCATCTAGCCAGGTTTCGAACTTCACTGGGCGGCCCTCGGCATCGAAAGCTAGAACGGGAGGACTAGCCATAGTGACAGTAGCAGTAGGAACAAGGCCGCTGGAAAGGTGTGCGCAGGGTCAACGGGGCCGGCGTGGTGCACGAGCGGCAGTAGTAGGGAGCGCGACAGCAGGAGCTGCAGCGGTGCGCGACCGAAGGGCAGGAGCTGCGGCGCACTAGCGGTAGCGGGCGACTCGCGGGCGGCGGCTGCAGAGGCGCACGGGCGGCAGCGGCTGATACGCACGGGCAGCAGCGCCGACAGCGCACGGGCGGCTGCAGCAGCGAGCGGTGCGCAAGCAGCAGCGGCAGCAGCGCACGGGTGGCAGCGGCGTCGGTGCACGGGCGGCAGCGGCGTCGGCGGACGGGCGGATGCGGGCAACGGGCGTGCGGCAGCTGCGGCGGCGAGCTGCGGGCCTGCGGGGCCACGGCGGGGTGTGCGCGAGCGGGCGACGGGCGGCTGCAGCAGCGGGCGCGTCAGCGAGGCGCACAGGCAGCGCGCGGGCAGCGTGCGGGGCCGCGCGTAAAGAAAACAGCCGCGCGCGTGCGGCTAGCGGGGCGCGCGCAGCGAAATCGACCGCGCGCGGGCGGCTAGCGGGATACGCGCGCTAAAAAAAAAAAAAAAGTCGAGTCGCGCGCGGGCGGCTGGCGGGCTGCGCGCGCGCGGTAGGTAGGAGGCGCACGAGGGCGCGTAGGCGCACGAGGCGCACGGTAGGTAGGTAGGTATGTAGGTAACGGTGGGCCCTAAGAACGGTCCTAGCGAAGGACCTGCTCTGATACCATGTCAGAAATAACGGACTGGAATGATGGACTAGCAAGGATTGTGAGTACAAATATGAAACCCTAATGTTGTGACCCCCCTATAGGCTAACCCACTACAGCCTACACAAATACAACATGTATAATGTTTGACAGAAGTGGGGGAAAACGAGTTAGGGGAAATATAAGTGAGGGGAAATGTAGTGAGGGGGAAGGGAGTGAGGGGGAATGGAAGTGAGGGGAAACAAATAAGGGGGACAGGGATGAGGAGGGATGGAAGTGAGGGGAAATTGAGTGAGGGGAAATACAAGTGAGGGGGGATGGAAGTGAGGGGAAATTGAGTGAGGGGAAATACAAGTGAGGGGAAATGAAGTGAGGGGGAAGAGAGTGAGGGGGGATGGAAGTGAGGGGAAATGAAGTGAGGGGGGATTTCCTCTCACTCCATTCCCCCTCACTCACAGAAGTGGGGGGAAAACGAGTGAGGGGAAATATAAGTGAGGGGGAAATCTACTGAGGGGGAAGGGAGTGAGGGGGAATTAAGTGAGGGGAAACAAAGTGAGGGGGACAGGGATGAGGAGGGATGGAAGTGAGGGGAAATTGAGTGAGGGGGAATAAAAGTGAGGGGGGATGGAAGTGAGGGGAAATTGAGTGAGGGGAAATACAAGTGAGGGGAAATGAAGTGAGGGGGAAGAGAGTGAGGGGAAATTGAAGTGAGGTGAAACAAAGTTCGGGGGACAGGGATGAGGAGGGATGGAAGTGAGGGGAAATTGAGTGAGGGGAAATACAAGTGAGGGAAGATGGAAGTGAGGGGAAATTGAGTGAGGGGAAATACAAGTGAGGGGAAATGAAGTGAGGGGGGATTTCCTCTCACTCCATTCCCCCTCACTCACAGAAGTGGGGGGAAAACGAGTGAGGGGAAATATAAGTGAGGGGAAATGTAGTGAGGGGGAAGGGAGTGAGGGGGAATGGAAGTGAGGGGAAACAAAGTGAGGGGGACAGGGATGAGGAGGGATGGAAGTGAGGGGAAATTGAGTGAGGGGAAATACAAGTGAGGGGAAATGAAGTGAGGGGGAAGAGAGTGAGGGGGGATGGACGTCAGGGGAATGAAGTGCGGGGGCTTTCCTCTCACTCCATTCCCCCTCACTCACAGAAGTGGGGGAAAAATGAGTGAGGGGTTATATAAGTGAGGGGAAATGTAGTGAGGGGTGCGGAATGAGGGGGAATGGGGTGGCCCGACGCCTCCCGGCGCGCGGGCGTCGGGTGCCGACCTCCCGCCGAGCGGGCGGGGGTGTAACGACTCCTGGCGGCGGGCGAGGGTGCACACGACCTCCCGCGAGCGGGCGGGGGGTGCAACGACCTCCTCGCGACGGGCGGAGGGTGCAACGACCTCCCGGAGAGCGGGGCGGGGGGTGCAACGACCTCCGGCGTGGGGTGCAACGACCTCCCGGCGAGCGGCGGGGGGTGCAACGACCTCCCGCGAGCGATCGTGGGGTGCAACGTCCTCCCGGCGAGCGGCGTGGGGTGCAAAGACCTCCCAGCGAGCGGGCGAGGGATGGAACGACCTCCCGGCGAGCGGCGAGGGTGCAACGACCTCCCGGCGAGCGGGCGAGGGGTGCAACGACCTCCCGGCGAGCGGGCGGGGGGTGCAACGACCTCCCGGAGAGCGGGCGGGGGTGCAAACGACCTCCCGACGAGCGGGCGGGGGTGCAACGACCTCCCGACGAGCGGGCAGGGGGTGCAACGACCTCCGGACGAGCGGCGGGGGTGCAACGACCTCCCGGCGAGCGGGCGGAGGGTGCAACGACCTCCTAGCGAGCGGACAGAGGGTGCAACGACCTCCCGGCGCCGGGGGGGGGTGCAACGACCTCCCGGCGAGCAGGCGTAGGGTGCAACGACCTCCCGGCGAGCGGGCGTGGGGTGCAACGACCTCACGGCGAGCGGGCGTGGGTGCAACGACCTCCCGGCGAGCGGGCGAGGGATGCAACGACCTCCCGGCGAGCGGGCGAAGGGTGCAACGACCTCCCAACGAGCGGGCGGGGGGTGCAACGACCTTCCGGCGAGCGGGAGCGGGGGTGCAACGACCTCCTGGCGTTCAGGCGTGGGGTGCAACGACCTCCCGGCGTGCGGGCGTGGGGGTGCAACGACCTCCGGCGTGCGGGCGTGGGGTGCAACGACCTCCCGGCGAGCGGGCGTGGGGTGCAACGACCTCCGGGCGAGCGGGCGTGGGGTGCAACGACCTCCCGGCGAACAGGTGAAGGATGCAACGACCTCCCGGCGAGCGGGCGAGGGATGCAACGACCTCCCGGCGAGCGGCGAGGGGGTGCAACGACCTCCCGGCGAGCGGGCGGGGGGTGCAACAACCTCCCGCCGATCGGGCGGAGGGTGCAACGACCTCCCGACGAGCGGCGGTGGGTGCAACGACCTCCCGGCGAGCGGGCCGGGGGTGCAACGACCTCCCGGCGAGCGGGCGGAGGGTACAACGACCTCTTGGCGAGCGGGCAGAGGGTGCAACCACCTCTTGACGAGTGGGCGGGGGTGCAACGACCTCCCGGCGAGCAGGCCGGAGGTGCAACGACCTCCCGGCGAGCGGCGGAGGGTACAACGACCTCTTGGCGAGCGGGCAAAGGCTGCAACCACCTCTTGACGATGGGCGGTGGGTGCAACGACCTCCCGGCGAGCGGCCGGAGGTGCAACGACCTCCCGGCGAGCGGGCGGAGGGTGCAACGACCTCTGGCGAGCGGGCAGAGGTGCAACGACCTCCCGGAGCGGGCGGAGGGTGCAACGACCTCCCGGCGTGCGGGCGGGGGGTGCAACAACCTTCCGGCGTTCAGGCGTGGGGTGCAACGACCTCCCGGCGTGCGGGCGTGGGTGTTTGTGTGATTCGACTCAAATGTCGCCCAAAGGATGAGTGCTTGTGTGAGTCGACTCAAATGTCGCCCAAAGGATGAGTGTTTGTGTGAGTCGACTCAAATGTCGCCCAAAGGATGAGTGTTTGTGTGAGTCGACTCAAATGTCGCCCAAAGGATAAGTGTTTTTCTGAGTCGACTCAAATGTCGCCTAAGGATGAGTGCTTGTGTGAGTCGACTCAAATGTCGCCCAAAGGATGAGTGTTTTTCTGAGTCGACTCAAATGTCGCCCAAAGGATGAGTGTTTGTGTGAGTCGACTCAAATGTCGCCCAAAGGATGAGCGTTGTGTGAGTCGACTCAAATGTCGCCCAAAGGATAAGTGTTTGTGTGAGTCGACTCAAATGTCGCCCAAAGGATGAGTGTTTGTGTGAGTCGACTCAAATGTCGCCCAAAGGATGAGTGTTTGTCAGAGGTCCACTGGTGATCCCCGATTGATCCTAGGGAAGGGTTACAGGCACGGCGGCCTGGGGGGTTATGGGCGCACTCACCCGCTACACAAACAAGCCCTTTTATCCCAGTGGTTAGTGGCTGGGATTCTGACATGTTTGTGTGAGTCGACTCAAATGTCGCCCAAAGGATGAGTGTTTGTGTGAGTCGACTCAAATGTCGCCCAAAAGATGAGTGTTTGTGTGAGTCGACTCAAATGTCGCCCAAAGGATGAGTGTTTGTGTAAGTCGACTCAAATGTCGCCCAAAGGATGAGTGTTTGTGTGAGTCGACTCAAATGTCGCCCAAAGGATGAGTGTTTGTGTGAGTCGACTCAAATGTCGCCCAAAAGATGAGTGTTTGTATGAGTCGACTCAAATGTCGCCTAAAAGATGAGTGTTTGTGTGAGTCGACTCAAATGTCGCCCAAAGGATGAGTGTTTTTGTGAGTCGACTCAAATGTCGCCCAAAGGATAAGTGTTTTTCTGAGTCGACTCAAATGTCGCCCAAAGGATGAGTGCTTGTGTGAGTCGACTCAAATGTCGCCCAAAGGATGAGTGTTTTTCTGAGTCGACTCAAATGTCGCCCAAAGGATGAGTGTTTGTGTGAGTCGACTCAAATGTCGCCCAAAGGATGAGTGTTTGTGTGAGTCGACTCAAATGTCGCCCAAAGGATTAGTGTTTGTGTGAGTCGACTCAAATGTCGCCCAAAGGATGAGTGTTTGTGTGAGTCGATTCAGATATCGCCCAAAGGATGAGTGTTTGTGTGAGTCGACTCAAATGTCCACCAAAGGATGAGTGTTTGTGTGAGTCGACTCAAATGTCGCCCAAAGGATGAGTGTTTGTGTGAGTCGACTCAAATGTCGCCCAAAGGATGAGTGTTTGTGTGAGTCGACTCAAATGTCGCCCAAAGGATGAGTGTTTTTCTGAGTCGACTCAAATGTCG